CAGATAATCCTCGATCTGCATCTTCCAGAAGCCAAAGTCCGCCCCATCGAACTTTTTAATTTTCATTTTTCCTTCGTCTGCAGCCATCACTTCGACTCTGATCTGACTTCTATGTCGGATCGTTTCTGTAAATTTTGTGAACTACCGTGTTTAAGAACACGTTGGTAGATAAATTTGTAGCGCCGACAAATTTGACACTATTCACGTTTTTCACTATTCACGGAATAGTAACCCACACAAAAAAAATTACAGAATTAACAATCTGGCTCTGATACCAGTTGTTAGGAAAAATACGCTGAAATTTCCATGAAGTCGGATCTATAAAACTGAAATAAAAAATAAAAATTGAACACACCAATTTGATAACGGAGTTCGGCCAATAATGCCTACGTCTCCGGACTACTGCAGATATTTTATTGGGAAAAAGAAATACACTCGTGTTTACAAAACACTCTCAAACTCACTCACAACCGACAACACAAATACACACAGAAGCTAAAACTTTTGCTCCGCGTTCCCTCTCTTTTTCTCTCTTTCTCTCTTGTGTTTCTGTTGTGCTTGGTCCATCTGAATTAGCTCCTCTATTTATAAAGAGGAGATGTTGCCAATTTTCCACAGAAGGCTGCTGAAGGAAGTGCACCATTTCCACGAAAGGTAGCTGAATTTTTTCTCCAAATGTGTGCTGGTCCTTTTTTAATCATTTTGTTGCTTTCAAAAATAATGGGCGCAGCCCTTTTTGACTTCACATTTGGAAGCTAATCTGGAAATCCCCGGTGTCGCAACGTGTTCGGACTTTCTTGTGGCTGGCCGCTCGGGACCGGCTGTTGACCAATAGTGAACGAACCCGGCGCCACCTCGCAAACCGCGTCCGAATGCGATCTGTGTGGTAACCCCGAATCGACGCTACATGTATTGCGTGATTGCCCTGTTACAAAAACCATGTGGCGTAAGCTCCTCCCGACAGGTAGCGATGATCGTTTCTTCCTAATGGAACTCCGGCCATGGCTAAGTAGCAATCTGG